AACATCTTCATATGAATTTTCTAAGAGTCTTGCAAAGATGTGACCGGTCTGCCTGGTCTGATAGCAGGTAAGGTAAGTTACAGGAAATGCACAGGGATGCAGCAGCAACATTTTTTCTAGGACTGAGGGTAATATTTTAAAATTCAATTTATGGGCTACTATCAGATAAATCCACAAAAGGAAATTAGGTTCCCTGCTGTACTTTCTAAATTTTAGGCATCTAAATAGCAAAATGTGGATCCCTGAATGAGATGGAGATCTAGGCTTCCTATGCAAAGGAGATACAAATAATATCCACTCATTCACTTGAGTGAGGAATTGGGAAACAGCAGAGGAAAAGAGACACCTTAAACCCTGTTCTTTCTGTGATTTTGCTGCCCTGTTCCAGACTGGGCGGAATACCATGAAGATTCACAGCTCATAGACCTGGGCCGAAGGACATTCCCAGATCTTCTAACATCCCATGATAGATAACATATGCACCCGCTATACTGGAGACCATTGTTCTGTGCCCTCCTCTGCTGACTGTCAGATTGAAATAGGCACAGCCCAGTCAGCACGTGTAGCTTGGGTAAGCTGACTTCTGATCAGTTGTAAGAAAACTATTGCAAGAAGCCATAAGTTTACTTGTAACAACATTACCTCGCAAAGTTAACTTTGTTCATTACTAAACTTAAAGAACCTCGGTAACAGTTTGTTATCCTGCTCATTCTTACAGACTCCTTGGCCGGGCAGAACAAGATGACTGGAGAGAACTCCAAGGAGCCATTCCTAAACCACTTAATTTACAGCTCTGTATACTAAGACATCACATGCATGTATTAATTTAAAGCTAAATATTGTTATACACATTGCAATAGCTTAAATCAATAAATGTCAGCTTGTTTGCATGCACATGATTTCCATATTAAAAATGTAATTAGTGTTATAGCAACCACATCCATATCCAAATCCTTTAGGATCAAAAAAAACCATGCCAGCCTCACAAGCACCACATCAAAATGTGACCACCCAGCTTAAACATGCTTCAGTCCCAAAGACTGACACATCAAAATGCTTTAGTGGCCTGTTAACTCTTGTTTTGAAAAAAATCTTTCTGTGGCAGAGATGTGTCATTCCCATTTCCACTACTCTTATGTCAACTAACAAAAGTTCCTAATGAGCCAAGTCTCTCGGAGTCTCAACTGCTAACGCCATTAACATTACCAAGGACCTGTGCGTGACTAACAGCAGTGTCCTACGGAAACTGAACTCATACCTTCCTTTTCCACATAAGCTGCCCTGAAGTTAAAGAGTATCCCAGGAAGAAAAGAAGGGAGGAGACGATGGGTAGAGAGGAAAGAAGGAAGATGTTGTCATTGCTGGTTCTGATTCATCCCATATGGAACATATATTAATCAGGTCTGACAGAGGAAGCCAGCAAGGGTGAGAAGGACTATAATCCAGTACTCACAGAGACATATTAATTAGATTAAGGGCCTGAACATAGTTCTCTTTCAAAGGTGAATGCCATGTCCACGAATATTTTGAGTCATGTTCTCCATCCCTCTAGGACATAGTACGCTCCTTTAAAAAATAATGGAAGTGCTTCAGCAGAAAAGATTTAAAATATCTGTGTCCAGAATAACCTAAAACTCAGTAGCCAGAGCTACAGCTACAGAAATGGACTACAGCATTCATGCTGCTGGTGACAGGGAGGGGAAGTGAGTGCGTCTGCCCTACATCCTGGATGAGTATTCCCACTATCAGGCAATGCCTCAAAGGGAAACCGCCTCTCTTCTATCATTCTATGGGCACCTGTGGATATGCTCCTAAAATACCCTCTGGGGTGACTCCTGCTGCAGGGCTTTAGACATTATAAAGGCATTGCTGAGCAGCATTAAGATAAAAGCTTTCGTTGTGTTTAAATGATCGACACGGTTAGTTTCTCTGAACTGCTACAGTCTGACTACTATCTGCTAAACATAAAGGAAATTCTTAAAATGGCACTGGTGTGACTTATATTCCTTGACAGTTGGTAACTAAAAACCCCAGCATGCCCCAAACCAGCAAAAGCTGAGCCTCCCTCCCCCAAATGATATGTAACGATGGTAGTTAATTCATACAGAAAAGATCTTTTGGGGCTGATATTTCTCTCCTAGTAATTTTATGTCATTCAAGTTCCACTAACAACTGTTGAGTTTACACCATGGTGCCAAAGAGGTATATTAGATCCTTCAGCTTCAAGCTATCCAGAGCTTTCTCGGCTCATTTGGCACCTCTGTGTTGCTGACACATGCAGAACTTTAACAGATGGTCTTACAATACTGGCAGTTGTTTTGTACTGTGCTAGTGGTGAGGGGAAATACTCTACACAAATTGTCCGCAATTCTGGAAAATAAATGAAGTACAAATCCATATTAACCTCAAAAGCCAAACTACAAAAAGTCAGATTAGTCATTTAACAATGTATGTGCTCTGGGTTAAATGTTCAGTTGCTGCAAAATGGCAATATTTCCCTGCAGCTGGGAGAACTATACTTTGCTTCAGTTCCTACCGGGAATATCCATAAAGACTGTATCAATATAAAGGTATTAACATGCATTAGGAATAAGCCCTGAGACCCTTCCTCGTGTGCTCAGCCCTGACTATCAGCAAAAGTACCTCTATAAACTTGGTGTTTTCACATAGATAGTGAAGCAACACGGCGCAACTTAAGTTAACCGAATCTCTCTTTTTTCCTGTGCCAAACAGAATTCAAGAAATAACGCATCAGCTACTGTGCAAATGTTGAAATCAACAGCGACGACCAAGTAAACAGCAATTTTACATTTTTCCTCACCCATTTAAAAAGAGCTGTATGTACTACAAGCTGAATTTTACACTCACCAATTTCACTGGCTTCAGAGGAACTTACACTGTACGTAAAAGACCAGAATTGTTTCTCCTTGCTTCTGTGTGGCTAAATTTTTCTTTTTTATTGTGCCAAATTATCAGATATATCAACTGGGTTAAACTAGTAAACCACGTATGCAGAATAGTGCTTATTAAAAGTAAACCAAACAATTTCCTTCACCAGGATATAACCTCCATGAAATCTATGTTCACACCTATGTATTACAGTATACTATTGCAAATTTAGAACACGCTTTTAGAAAATCACAAATGTTTTAGTCCAATGCTCACCTCTTCTATTTGCTTTAAATGAAACGTAGCTTGAAAGATATTTCAAACTGAGATTTCAGAGGCTTGGTCATTCAGTTCTCATCCATTTCAATATATTTAGTTAGATAATATGTCAGCTACTTTGTATGTTATTTTCACAATGTTACTTACATTGAAACACAGTTTCTTTAGGTAGTTTCAAAGCCCTAGAAGGAAGTAGAACTCTAAAAGCATTATCATAAGAGTCCTTCAAATGCAAGAGATACATTCCAGTCTTCTGCTGGGACTGAATCAATGCTGTATCTAATTTTTAAAATTTTATTTTATCCACTAAGGTTGCTTAAAAAGCATGGTTGCTGGAACTGACTGATGTTATACATTTGTGACTTTGATACAAGTGAAAAGATCTTTATCAGTTTTATGTCTAATTTTATAATGAAAGATCAAACAACTCCTAAGTTTGAAGCTGTTAACAAAAAAAAAAAATATTAAAAGAACTAAATATCAGAGAGGTTTCATGTTTTCTTTTCCTCCCTCGGGACTTCTGCCAGAGTAAGATGACACACCATACTCCCAGACAGTTCTTATACAAGTGCAAGATAATCCGTCTCTGAAAGCATAAATTATTTCTCCTCACGACAAAAGAAAAATCAAAAGAAATGTTAAAAAGACACAGTCAAAATGTGGGAGCATCAATCCCTCTGCTTCTCTTCCCAGGCATAAACGTTTTGTCAAACATTTCAAGCTATGTTCCTCAATGTAGTGCTTTGCTGTGAAATTCCCAGGAGAGAAAAGGAGTTGGTATACATATTTGAGTACCAATCACAGGATCACAGAATCACAGAGCGATAGGGGTTGGAAGGGACTTTCAGAGATCATCTCATCCAATGACCTTGTCAAAGCAGGTTCACCTAGAGCAGGTTGGACAGGAGCACATCCAGACGAGTTTTGAAAATCTCCAGAGAAGGAGACTCCACAACCTCTCTGGGCAGCCTGTGCCAGTGCTCTGTCACCCTCAAAGTAAGGAAGCTTTTCCTCAGAATTTCCTGTGTTCCAGTTTGTGCCTGTCGCTGGGCATGACTGAAAAGAGTTTCGCCCCATCCTCTTGACACCCACCCTTTGGATATTTATAAGCATTGATAAGATCAAATAATGAAAGCACGTCCTATCCTGGGAAGAGGTCCTCCCTTACAGATGCAGAATATGAGATAACATGACGGGAAAACTTCATGATCATCCTTCCAGTTACTGAGAGCCTTTCCAGCTTCTACAACAACTGGTCATGGCTACACCCTTTCTTGAGCCCATCCTCTGTAGAGCTCGCCACAGGTCCATGGTGAACATTTCCTGCTCTTGGAATGTATAGAAATGTATACAAAAGGGACATGAAATGAAAGGAGTCTCTCGGGGAAGCAAAAGGCAAAGGGAAGGGGATAGGAGTACAGGATTTATTTTATCCATTCTAACAATGTCCAACACTCTACCACACACCTTCTAGGGAAGGTTCAAGTAGGCCTTGACTAATCAATAATGGAATCATCTGCCTACAGCTGCAAGCAAAGGTCATTCTTAATGAATGGAATGCTACTTTTGGTAAACCAGTAGAGATTCAGGGGATTTATAAATCTAAAAGAGAAAAAACAAAAACCCAAGTGCAACATTTCCACAAAGAGATTACATCTCTCAGTGAATACAGATCTTTGTTCTGCAATTCATGTCCCAAGCTGGGCATTACTCAACTTTGATATAACAAAATCCTACGGAATCAAAACACAGTTTGTCTTTGTGATTTATTTCCTTGCCCTTCCTAACTAATATTTTCTGAAATAATATCCAATATCTTTCTTCTTAAATACCTTTATAGTTTCAGTAGGCACTCCAGGCTCTGGAACTTTATCCAAGTAAGTAGTCAAGTCTTGATCCACATGTTCAAACACTAACGTTAACTTGGTCTCTCTGTCTGTTCGTGACACGGTGCACACATCAAACAATCTGAGAGGAGGAAAAGAAAAGAGGAGGTAAGTATACCGGAACCAGCACAGACGTACATACCTTGCAGCTCACACATGTCTATTTAAATTTCTTACAATGTGCAGAGAGGAAAAAAGAGCTATCCAAAGGAAGAACAATCTTTGAGCTCTTGATTCTTCAGATAACTACTGATACATCAATAATATCATATCTCTCTTTCATGTGTGGATTTTGAAATGGTATTAAGTATTAAGAATTCATCAGCTATTCAAAGTAAAATAATTACAAGAAAAAAAATATTTTTTGGACAGAGCAACTACAGTTAATACAGAAAATTACTTAGTATTTACCCACATTCTATGCTGCAGCACTTACAGTCATTTAAAAAAAATTGCAAGAAACATTTTTGAGAAACAATGTACAGGGTGTTTGCATGCACCTTCAATTTCTTTCCACATAACTCCCATGTTCGCCATTACACAGCTTTATAATTAAACCTCCTTTGGCAGAAACAGAATTTTTTTGCTGATTACTCTTGCAAGTTCTTGGATGCACAGAATACCTTCAGAGTCGGGATGCAGTCTGGAAAAAAGCTTTGTGCACAAGATACTAATACAAAGAAAGCTTTCTTCTCTCATCACTTTCTGTCATTCTTTTACTGAAATTTCTTTATCATTTCACCTTGTTGCACAACATCAAATTCAAAGTAATTTGCAACGCTCTTCATAATGTCACATTCCTATCTGATTACTCTATTTTCTATTGTTTTCTCTTTTTAATTAGGATTTCTCTCATCTTTTCCACTTCATCTACCATACCAGCTTTAATCACTGTTTTATCTTTTTCTGAAATTTCTGCGCATCCTTCTATGCTCCACACCTCTACTCATACCAGTAACATTCACTATCCTTCCTCAAGTCCCACCTCTAGAAAATCACAATAGGAAACCATCTTACAGACAGAGGGACACTTGTTCCCCACTCACATACTTTACTAATGTGTTTATTCATTTAGTTTTAAATTGTTCAGATCAGACTGCCTTTCTCTCTGAAGCGAGGCAGCAAATCAGTCGCTACTTTTATTAGGTGACAGTAGATTTAAAAAATGTATGAATACAGTTATCGAGAAAAAAGTTTTGTTCTTCAGCTAAACTGAAGAACCTATCATCGATAACAAACCAAAGTAGTGTTGATACTACTGCCTGTTTTGGTCAACATGATAGCAGTTATGTTGTTTTATTACATGTATCTTTCATCCCCTTACTTCAAAAAACTGCTTCCTTACTTCGTGCAAAGTGCAGGATTTCTGATGATGTTATCAAGTAATAGTTTATATCCTAGGGCTAAAGGCTTTATATGCAGGATCTGCAGACAACAGATCACACACAAAGCCTTGGGGGTCACTACTTTTCAAAGATGACATCTGACAGACAGACTAGGAAAACACTTTGTACTGAGTTTTTACTTCTTACCTTAAATCTCAAAATATTTCACAAGAGAAGGGAAGATAAGAAATGGCACAACTATCTGTGAAGACTGTAATCCCGGTTCAAGAGAGGAGTATGTTTTACTTGAGATGATACAGATTTAACATGTTAAGGCCATGATCCCACTTTAACAGCTTTTCCTAAGTAATCTTTGGTCAGACACTTAGAAATTGTTTATTAGCCACCATGTTTTGAAAATGGATGCATGCATGTCCCTTTTAGCTTAAAGAAGCTTTTCAGTGAGTAGTAATTTGGGAACCATAGTTACAGATTATGGAGAGACTGTCACCCTACCTCTACTAGAAGACTAATCTGTACTTAATCTGTAATCATCATATGAACAAATATTAATTAAATTATTACGGTAACAGTGACTGTAACAGCAAATGTCTCGACACATTTCTCATAAAGACACATACAGTTCACTTTATGATTCCCTTAATGCGGCATACACGGGAGATAGATGTCCTATACACAGTAAATCAGTTTTGTGAAAAGCCACAAAACTTCCTGAAAAGTAAAATTTGCTGGTATTTGGCTGGAGGTTAATAATCTGCAATATATTTATATAAATCAATGTGGAATGTAGCCGGACTGCCTGTAACCCCAACACATGCAAATAGAGAGGAGCCAGACAGGTCTGAACATCTGAACATAAACACTGGAAAATATTTCCAACTGTATGATTCCTTTGTGTTGACCTACATTTACCTAAAAATATTCTAAAACACCTTTTTTTTTTTTTTGCCAGGTATTTAATGCACTGGAAAAATTATCTTTTCAACTATAGCAGAATTATAATTCAAGAAAAAAAAAGGAAAAAAGATTTCACTGTAGAGAATATAGAAGCAACGTAATTTTCACCTCACTGTGGAGGGAAATGCTCGTTCTCTCTTTAAGTCTTCTGTGTGTGGCTTATTTTGATTCTGGCACAGCAAAATAAGGAACTCAGAGAAGCGCAATTCTGGTCACCTATTACTGAGTAATAATATTATCGCTGAGTAATAATATTATCTTTCCTCTTTATAAACCCTTTATGTGAAACTCTGAATGCTTTACTGTTAACAATAAAAACTCCAGATCCTGCACCAGGCTGTGTGAAGCACATTGTGTTTACTCACAGAAAATAAAGGCGCTGCCTTAGAAAGATAATAATTTAAAGTACAGCTTATATGCATCCACGATATTACAAAAAGACAACATCTGGCATTGCCTGTGCTAATCATTCTGGAAATAGATTGAGAAAGACACAGCCTCTTTATTTAGTAGTTTCCATAGGGATAAAACTACTTTGTAAAAATTATATTCTTTTACATCCACTGAGAGAAAATCATCCACAAAGTCACCTTCTTTAGCTATGAACATATCTGCTGTCTACAGCGTACATCTCTCAAGCCATTTCCTCATGATTTTCTGTACGTGACGGGTTAGCTTTGCATGTGATTGCCTCTCTGGAACAGGCAACAGAAAAAGGCCTTTTATTGAAAGAGTTACTATGTGGACGCTGTCCCAAGTGAAGTAAATGTACCTCAATTAATACAGGATTTCCATACTGAATACTTTGTAAACACAAGCCCTGCCCTTCTATTGTACTTACAAAAGAAACGTTTGAATTATTTGATTAAAGTAAGATCCGCTATGGGAAATCCTGCAAGTATTTAACAAGATGTTTGGCTGGGAGTCATACACCTCCTGATGCGTCGATCTGAACTAGGACATTGTTGAACACTTATGGAGTACCTTTGTTTTAATGCAGGCATTTTTTCAAGTTAATTGTACTAAAGTAAAAAAAGCTCATCAGATACAAATCTATGTCTCTGCTTTATTTTATGTGTCTAGTGCCTAGTGGATCTTACTATAAGCTAGCGGAATACCTGCCTTCCTGCAAAAATACTTTGGGTTTTTTGAACACAGAAAACTAGACGATGAGTCTTGAAGTCTACATAGCTTCTTACAAGTTGTAACGTAACAAATGCAACCTTGGTTCATTTTCATTTTACAATACACAGTCTGAATGCTCAATGCTTTTATATGAAAAGACACAGTGATGCCAATTCCCTTGAAAACTATTGCGTCTACTGACTGGTATTAACTAGAAAGTCCTTAAATGTTACTGGACTCGCTTTTGAGATGCTCTGAGAACTGCTGTAATTTACTGACTTTCAAGTTGAATAAACATTTTTTTCCTGAGAAAACTGAGATAACAGCGATGGAAATCAAACCCATCAGCACAAGCCACCTGCAAGAAATACCAAAAACCAGATCAGACTGTAAGACCTGAAAAACTGTAGAACATCAGTTCTCTTGGCTATTGCCAAACAGATGAGTAAGTACATCTGGAAAATTAGCCAGATCATAGTCAAAGGGAAGACGGAACAATTAGATATTTGCTGCCAATGCATCAAATGGCGTACTGTTACTTTTATCGCAGGACTAAGCCAACATGAACACATATCCTCTTACTTTGCTGGTCACCCACAGCACTGAACAAAACCACAGTCCTTGCTCTCTAAAGTTTTTCAATAACATGGATTTACTTTCATTTTCTTGGGAACAGTATCTTCCTAGGAAGAGTTACTTCCTGGCTTATGCATGGCAGAGAAAGAGAACTGGAGCCATTGATTTATGAGTAGGAGAAATGTTTAAGATGACTGTGGTGTGGTAAGTAGTGGCATAGTGATATGCTACAGTTTTAAGGTTTCGTAAGGCTGAACAAAGACTCAGATGGAAAGTCTGGTGGTCTCAACCTAACTCTGAAAGGTATTTATCCACACAACAGAAAACCAGCACAGAATTTATGTGTGATTGACAGTGTTTACGCAAACACCACAAGACTGGGATACCAAGACTATTACAGGTCATGATTGAGGTTTGTTGACAAATATGTGGGGGGAAGCCTGAATAGCTTCTGCTTTCATTGTCTTTGGCTCAGGTTAATCTTGTGAGTCCGTGATTTTCAAGGGCACAGAAATTTTCAGCCTCTAATACTGAAAAGCATTGAAGAATGACAGGCATCCTTTGAGTCCAAATTTCAGCAGCAGCCTTAGATTATTTTGTTTTCTGGAAGCCACTCAGCAGCAAGCCCTTCATTTACCCCAACTACTTAAACTACGCAGTCCTTGAAAATAACAGTTTTCCCCATACTTTTAATATTAGCTACCTTCTCCTTTCTTGCTTTTGAAGAGGAAAAACACTCCGGTAACAGAAACCAGTCTCTACTTGGAATCACGTATACCCAATGTATTGTAACAAAGGGGTCGTATTTCAGATGAGGAAGACAATAGCTGGGCAAGGGGAGTGGAACATGTGCGTTATGAGCACCATGTCCCACGTAGCAAAACAGGAAATAGAGCTTCACAAAAAACTTAATCAGCAATCACCTACTCTTCCATGCCTCTGAAAGCTGGTATTTCAGACAGATTTTTCTCACTGGAAGGAACTTTAGTGAAGTACTTTCAGATGGAAAAAGAGCACATGCAGATGAACAGGACACTAAATTCAAAGTATCTTGTATTTTAAGTGCATTTTTTCTGGG